ATGGGTCTGGGAGTGGAGGGGAGTAGGATGGAATCTCTCAAGATCTCAAATTGTTGGGTTTTTATTTTGTTTTTTTTAAAAAAAAAACAACAAGAGTAAAGTTTACATAAGGTAACTCATTTCATTAAAACTGGCATGCCTAGGCAGTGGTGAAGATAACAATACTTTTAAACCAATGAAATTGGTATTTGACAATTGAGAAATATTCCATAATTCCCATTTGTAATCTAATCTACTAAACCACTTGCTACTTCCATAACCTAGATAAACATATTAGCAAATCTGGTGGCCTCATTGGTAAGTAGTGATGCTGCCAACTCAAAGGCAGGTATGAATCCACCAGCTGCTTTGAGTGAGAAAGATGGTTCTTGTATTATTGTAAACTTAGACCACAGGAACTTGTGTGCTTTGCTTGGGGCTTATTCTTGGCCAAAGATCCTGAAAAAGGCTCAAGAACTACCTTTCTCAGATAGCCAACCTCCTTCTCAGTGCCAAGTGAGTGGTAGCCCTCAGGCCACTTTCTATGGCACCTAGAATATAAGGATTAGTGCTGAGGATTCTACTGTTCGTGTCCAGTGTTGTGACTTCTAGGTATTTTATGCCTTACAACAGTGCTTCCTAGATATGAAGGTGCCTAGGAATTCAAGAGGGAGATCTGATGGCTTAGTGGCAAGAAGCTGCACTGCATTCCCAAAGTTAAGCAGTTTTGAGGCCACTAGCTGCTCCATAGGAGAAGGACAAACAATCTCCTCCTGTGCCTCTGAAAACCGGCCATAAGGTCAGCTATGGGTTGTTTCCAACTTGATGGTACTCAACAACAGGCCATCAAAAGCCATCCACTGAGTAAATGAAGAAAATACTCGAACATGGAAATAGGATTAGCCATTCATACCTAAGTAACATGTTGTTGAGGATGCCAGAGCTTCAGTCATTTGGCACACATAACTTCTAGTTGAAACTTTTTACTGATCTGGGTTCTTGTTAATATAGTCTAATTTGATATATGAAATAGAGAAATCTTATCACAGGCATGTTTTATCTCGACTATATCATCAACATTAGCTGAAAACTGGGCTGGGTGTATACTATTAATTTCTTAATGTTCTTGTTGTTATTGTGTACCATCAAGTCAGAACCAACCCATAGCTGACCCTCCAGGGTTTTCAGAGACCGTTAATGGCACAGGAAGAGATTGACCATCCTTCTCCCACGGAACAGTTGGTGTATTTGAACCTATGCCATTGGGATTGCAGCCCAGCTTCTTGCCACTAGTTCACGAGAACTCCTTATATTTTTTAGTTTTATTGTTGTAGTTAAGTGCCTTTGAGTTGTAGATGACTCATAGTGACCCTCTGAGGAAAAGTCCTGAACACGTGTAACTTTCATTGTTTCTGGAGGCAAGCTATTTCAGAAGTGGATGCCACTCCTGCTTCCAAGCTTGTTTTAATTTGAGAGCTCCCTCACACACTGTCCACCATGGGCAACCGTTATCATATTTGACACATCAGTAGCTATTTTTTAATCATTTGGTTACACACACATACACACGCTTGATGTGCACCAAATTGGTCACTAAGTTGAAATTGTTTATATATTATTTAATTTTATTTTTTATTTTGAA